CTTTGTAACGAGCCACAAGACTATAAACGACAAGACACGAGACTTTACTTCGGCCTTCGCTGGGTTGTTTCACACACGTGTCGCTTGCGTAAGGTCACCTGATGTAACACAATCCTATTGTTACATATTTTCCCCTTTAGAGAACATGAACCAAAATATGAAAACAAACAAAACAACTAAACTAAACTGGCTTTGCAGTCAATTAGTGTCTGTCTCCGTCATGACATAACCTAAACTTAAATTAAGTTCAAACTCAAACATTGTTTTATATCTCTATCTAGACATAGTCTCTTAGATGCTTCGGTCGCTTGATCTCACGGCCGTGCCGGGTGCGGTAAGGACTGTCATTTGGCAGCGTAGTAACTACCTCACTGGAATTTCAGCGGATCTGTGGTATGAATTGGAGCTGGTCCGACTGGCGACTGATCAGCGACAAGATCGATAGGTGGGGTGACGGAGCCCAGAGGGTTGGCTGTTGACGCTGCTGGAACATAGCCAAATGACGACTTCCCCGCCGGTTGGCGAGTGCTGAAGGTCTCATTTGATTTCCTTAGGTGAATGCGATTGCGTCGAAATCTTTTGCCGTCTTCTGTTTCTACCTCGTAGCTCCTGACCCCGACCTTGGCCTTGACTTGTGCCTTCTGCAGGTCTTCTTGTTTGAGGCTGTCAGGGGAGAGATTCACTCTGACAACGTCTCCTGAGATCAACGCGGGGAGATCATGAGCTGCGTTGTTGTAGTATTTTGCTTGTTGGCCAGAATCTTCTGATGCTGCCCCATGGTTACTTCAGGAACCAGCAGATTTTTTGTTGTTGGCAGGAGGGTTTTCGTTCGGCGGCTCATCAGTCGCTGGGCTGGATTGGTATCTAAGCCTTGTGTTGACGTATTGTGGTAGTCGAGGAGAGCAAGGTAAGCATCGGATGAATTCTTCTTCGCTTTTTTCATTAGTCATTTGGCTGCTCCGACAGCATTTTCAACTTTTCCATTGCTTTTGGGGTATCTCGGTGAAGTCGTGACTACCTCAAATTTCCATTGCTTGCTGAACTTCTTGTACTCATGAGCTGTAAATTGTGGGCCATTGTCTGAAACACACACATCGGGAATACCATGTCGGGCAAACTGCATCTTCATCTTTCTGATTATGTGACTGGCTGTAGTGTTTTCTAGAGGGTCGATCTCCCAGAACCCAGCGAAGTAATCCACGATTATCAGGTAGTTGGTCTGGTTGAACGTGAACAAATCAACCCCCACTTTGGCCCACGGACGGTCGGGGACATCATGGGAAATAAGAGTTTCCTTTTGCTGCTTGTTGTCAACAGAACGGTAAATGTCGCACTTCAGAATAAAGTCCTTCACCTCACTGGACATGGCAGGCCAGTACACGTACTCTCTTGCCCGTCGTAGACACCCTCCACACCCATGTGGGACATGTGGATCCGCCTTAGCATATCATGTCTGAGTGATTTGGGAATTAGTGCCCTTTCTCCAAGGAGGATTATCCCATTTTGGACGCTAAGCTCGTCCCTAACACTGAAGTAGGGCATTGCTGCAGCAGGAATGGCAGTTTTGTCTTCTGGCCAGCCTTCCAGGATGACTCTGGTTAGCACTTGTAAGGTGTCATCCTTGGCAGTGTGGGCTTGGACATCATCCAGTCTCGCTGCTGCGAGCGGCAAATCTTGGACCATGTTTACACTTTGAACTTTCATCTCGAACGGTGTCGCATTGGTGAGCGGCAAGTATGCTCTACTAAGCGTATCTGCTAGCTGTATTTGACGGCCACATCTATAAGTGAGGATAACATCATATACTAGCAATCGTAGTAGCAGGCGCTGGAGTCGTTTCGGGGCCATGTGGAGAGGCTTCTTTACGATGGCTTCAAGCGGTTTGTGGTCAGTTTGTACCGTAACTTTTCGGCCATATGTGTACTGATGGAATTTCTCTAACCCAAAAACCACTGACAAGAGCTCCTTCTCCATTTGGGCATATCTGGTCTCGGTGTCTGACAAGGCTCTACTGGCAAATGCAAGGGGCTGGCCGTTTTGAGTGAGTACTGCACCTAGACCTGTTTGTGAGGCATTGCTTTGGAGGGTGAGTTCTTCCATTGGCTCGTAGTATTTCAATACTGGTGCTTCGGTGACGAACTGACGGATCCTTTGGAAGGCTTGATCCTGATGGTCCGTCCAATGCCACTCCACATCCTTGGCCATTAGTTTCCTGAGAGGTTCGCATACGTTACTGAGGCGGGGAAGGAATTTGCTGAGGTAGTTGACAAACCCAATTAGTCTCTGCACTCCGGCCACATCCGTTGGCTTGGGCATTTCCAACATCGCCTGGATTTTGCTGGGGTCAGGTTTGAGTCCTTTGTCTGTGAGAACGTGACCAATGTAAGGTACTTCGCTGCGCCGGAGTTTCATCTTCTCTTTGTTGAGTTTCACATTGCGTTCCTGGCACCTTTTTATGAGGTTTTTCAGCTTTCTATCGTGATCTTGGTGCGCGTCTGCGTAGGTATCGCCTTCACCATAGACCAGAATATCGTCATGTATCGACAACACTCCGGGAAGACCTTCGATCACCTGGTGTTGGCGTCTTTGGAATTCCTCTGGAGCAGAGGAGAGGCCAAAGGGTAACCGTAGCCAACGGTACCTTCAAAGGGCGTATTGAATGTGGTGAGTTTCGAACTTTCTTCATCGAGTTCGATGTGCCAGAAACCGTTCTTGACATCAAATGTGCTGAAGACTTTGGCACGGCTGAGGTCTGGCAGGATATCATCAATGGTGGGTAATGGGTAATGACTGCGTTTCACGTTTTTGATTAGGTCCTTCGGATCTATGCAAATACGCAAGGTACCATTAGGCTTCTTTACTACAACCATGCTAGAAACCCAGGGAGTAGGTTCTGTGACAGGTGCTAGGATTCCGAGCTTGTGCAATCGTTCCAATTCCTCTTTGAGCTGAGGCTTAATGGCTATGGGAACTTTTCTTGGAGGGTGAACAACAGGGATAGCATCTGCTTCAATTTCCAGTTGGTACGAGCCATGAAGCTTACCTGTACCATTGAAGACATCCGGAAACTTTGCAATAAGCGATTCTTTGGCAAGTGGCTTGTCCTCTGAGCTAAGATCTAAGGACAGAATGTTTTCAAAACGTACTTGAATGAGGTCCATTTCTTGTGTGATTTCGCTCCCAAGAAGGGGAGTGCAATCTTGCCTTAGGACTGTGAATTCCACTTGATACACATTCCCATTTTTGGTATTGCAGAGTTCCAGCTGACAAAGTCCCAATGGTTGCACCGTGGTGTGGTTGTACATGGAAAGCCTTTTTGGTTGTCTTCTTTAGTTCAACTTCACCCAAGCAATTTTCGAGGGTTTTCGCCGAGACGACGTTGCATGAGGCTCCACTATCGAGCTGAAAGCGTACTGGCGTCTTGCCCACATTTATCGTTGCGAAAAGGCGCTTCGGAAATTTACGTACTGCCACGGCGTTAATCTCGTCAACGGGGTTCAACTCTACTGTTTTGATTTCATCATAGTCGTCATCGCTTTCCACAGTGTGGACTGGTTTTGGCCTCCTAGACATGCAAACGGAGGCGAAATGATTTGATTTGTGGCACTTTTGACATTCTACACCATATGCTGGGCAATTTCCTCGCCGATGTTGTCGTCCACAGAATTTGCATTTTCGGATTAATTTCCGGTTCTCATCTTTGTCATCTCTGCCGCCCTGATCTCTTTTCTCTTTTCTCTTCTCTTTTGTTTCCGCTAGTGAGATAGTGGACTATTTCTGACGTTGCCTCAATTGCTCTGTTCCTTTCTTTCGATAATTCGGAGGCTCGACGGGCATTGACGCACTTATCAAGATCCAAGTCGGCAACTTTCAAAAGATCCTCTCTAAGCTTTGAGTCACGAATTCCACAGATAATTCGGTCACGGACCAGTGACTCCCGCAGGGTGGTAAAATTACAGATTGAGGCTAATCCTCCATCTTTTCCAGGCATGTGAGAGCTCACTGGGATTTCCGAAATCCAAATTGCTGGGCGGTTTGAGCTGAGAGATCGATCGTTCCGCGGCAGCGCTTGTGCTGGGCGTTCCAAGTGTTTCATCTGGCATTTTGTTCGACGAATCTCACTTCTGACACCATGTAACGAGCCGCAAGACTATAAACGACAAGACACGAGACTTTACTACGGCCTTCGCTGGGTTGTTTCACACACGTGTCGCTTGCGTAAGGTCACCTGATGTAACACAATCCTATTGTTACAGACTTGAAATTATACTCTGTGTTACGATGCTGACAAGTTACAGCACACAGAAAAATAAATTCCAGCTCCCTTGTGACAACCATGTATTCAGGGGGGGTCTCCAAAGGAAGTGTTTATTTTTTTTTATGAAAGACAATGGGCAAGAGTGTACATTTTAACCTGCTGCATCAAACTTTAAAAATATGAAAGGCTGCAAACACTTGTATCAGAAAAAATCCTCTAATGGAATAAATACATAAGAGATATAAATTTCACCTGAACTTTTTTTTTAAAAGTAGATATAACAAAGGCAAGTTCTGTCACGGACGTTACGTAACGTCCACAACATTTAAACATTCCTTTTTCTTTCCTAAGATAACTGTGAAAGATTTTAAAGACATTCTTGTCACACAGCTAGATATCCAATAGAAGCAATTTAGTAAAAAGAAATCTCTAGTAAACTGCAACATTTTCAAAATAATGGCAGCAAAACTTTGTTCGGACTTTACGTCACGGACGTTACACTTCTTGAACACAAGTTACAACACTTGAAATGGTTTTAAAAAGCCAAAATATTACACCATAAGTCCATAGGTTCTTCTAGATATGCTGTAGTTTCACCTAACAAACATTTTGAAACAAACAACAGCTTTCAAGAAGGTTGCTATTTTGACATTTCAAGAATAGAAGGGTTCTACCAAAATCTGATGAACATAGTCATTTCTCACGGCTCTTAAACCCTTGTATGTTTCCTAATGACTCTGAAGAGTTTTTCCACAGCTGGTTGCTCTGGGATTTCAAATGGTCCACTAATAAAGTGAGGAACAGTAACAGGACCAGCAAAAATATTTGAAAGGTGGACTCTGTCCATATCGTCTCGCCTCGGCCAATGATAAGTAGTTGCACCAACTCTGTGCAGGAACTTGAATTGGACAAAACTGTCATTTTTGTCTATTACTCTGCCAAAATAATAGTTTTTGATGTAATCAACTGCACAGTATTCCCTCGGTTGAATAGTTGGTGGTGGAATTGGGCATAGATTTTTCTGGTGCAATTCTTGGATCATCAGTTGCCTGTATGTTGGAACTTCAGTTTTAGGGATCATTTGGCATCTGTTGGCCAAACATCTTGCATACAGACAAGTGAAAATACCACAGTCATAGGTATTGTCCTGTTGTGGAATCTCACAAGGCCTGTTTGAAAAAAGAAAGACCACTGGTCGATGTCGATCGACTGGTCAACTTTCAAAAAGAAGTGACACCATCTTTTCCACTTGTTTTAACGCAGTTGGCTTTATGAATTTCCCTGGTAGGCTGTCAAGCACCACAATGCACATTTCCAGGGGAAACATCACTCCAAGGAACCAATGTTCACTCTGAATATCATTGTAGGGAAAGAAAACTGCATCTTGTCTTAACAGGTCACCTTTGCCTTTCAGAAGGTCTTTCAAGTGTTTCTTTCACACTGCTTTTTCATTTAAAAACCATGTTGTGACCAAGAACAATACAGAATAGCTGATTTATCTTCTATACTTGACAATGATTCACACAATGTAACGTCCGCAACATTGGTTGTAACGTCCGCGATGCTGAAGTTCAAGTAGCCTGGTAAAACTTTGAATGCCAGTTTGAATGAAATAAAGCTTTTGGTTCACACAACCACTTAACTGTAGATATTTGGAACAGTTCATATAAGAAACCCTGATACTTCACAGGAATTTTGACTTAATGCTAATGCACTTGATAATGTGGTTGATTTTTATGTAATTTCCGCAACAGTGTTTTTTGGCTCAATTTCTTTCACAGAAATCAGTGAGATGGAAAATTGTACAGCCCAATTAATATGTCAGTAGGCACAAACATGTTCATTAATGGAAAACTGGACAACTCCTTATTTATCCTTTGTCTGTGCCAAATTAAAGTTTCAAAACTGAGTCTGAATGTAACATCCGCGATAGTGGAATTGCCTTATACACATCTTACATGTTGAGTAGGATGCTCAGATAAGACCATACAACTTTTTAAAGACTAGAAGCCAATTAAAAGAAGAAAAATTAAATGAGTGGAATGATAAATCCCTTGTTCGATAGTTTAAAATGTAATATTTGTGGACATTTCAACTTTCCATTTTCCAACTTGAAATTGAAATTCACCACTGTACACATTTTGGAAATTAAAGAAAGTGGAACTTGTCAAATGTGATTTTCAAAAGGCACAGATGTGCATTACTGTTATTGAACCTCACTTCTTAAGCTGATTGATACAAGTGAATACGAATGTAGTGTATATTTACAGTTATATTTTGTTACTCCTTACCTCTATGGTGAAATCTTTATAAGCCATTCTTCTTAAATATTATCCTTACACATGTACATGTAACTAAAGGTCTGAGAATATTATGTTTATGGTTATCTGTTTTAGGGGGTTTGGATGTGCATTTCACCCAGGAACCTCATAATCCAAGCTACTTTAACAATGGTAGTGATGCCAACCTGGTGTGGGACTACACTGATCCACATAATAAAATTCAGAGCATTTTCTATAGTGTTCTGGTACATAATATATTTGTCACAATGTTGGTTAATGACAGTCATGGTGTGCAAGAACATTCTTCAATTCCTCGATCTTACAAAGGAAGAGTTAAAATTGAAGGAAGAGCTACCCTTGTTATCAAGAACATTAACCCTGCAGATAATACCAAATTTAAGTGTGAATTGGAGAGAGGCTTAAGGACTTATAGAAGTGTAGTGCAGCTTATTGTGGCAGGTATGTAATACAGACATAAACATTAATCATCAAACATAAATCAAATGCATTCAACTCATGTCTCTCATATTTCTTGAGATCTGGAGAAAGTAAACTAGCTTAAATTTGTGCAAACCCTTATATGCAGGGCTGAAAGTGGCTGGCTAACCCGACCTTTGGGAACAATGGTGCTTCTTTTACTTGGAATGTGATACCAGTCACTCCTAAAAAGAGAAAAGAGTTATCAAAGACTTATTGCTTTATTCTTCTGGCACCAACTACTGGGTTGCTCTGTTATGCATAGATAACTATTATTAAAATGGGTACAGAGATTTTCTCTCAGCAAAGCTGTCAATTAGAAATGGTCAGTCAGAACCAGAAACGACCCATTTGGTGGGGTAGTACAATTTTCCTAAATCAATTAAGAAAAATTTTGCATGACCAATCATAAGCAGCATGTGAAATTAATTTGGTGTGAAAAAAATGGTATTGTTTTTCAAGCCTTTTAATGAGACTCGCCAAAGGCAATGAAAGTTGGCACAGTGTCATTTGCTGCTTTCTGAGGATTATGATCTTTAAGGTTTGCAGATGTAAATCTAGTCTACAGAATGCTGATTTCCTCTAGTAATATCTGACACTAAGGAGCAAGTCAAGATTTGTGCATTATGGAGAAAAATTTTATCAAAGTTATGAAAGCAATAAACCAATGAAGTCTAAGCATGCAAACAGAAGATAATTTAATGATGATCAGGTCGGCCAGGTAGGAATGATGTTCTTAGCAGATGCTGTTATTCATGGCAGTCAGTTAAACAGCTCCAATTTTATTGCTGACTTTGGTTGCTCCACTGAGGAACTGGCTGAATTCCACAAAGAGCTAGAAGAGACTAAAAGTATTAAATTTCAATTTAGAGTATGAAACGTTTTGTGACCTTATGTAACCTAAACTTTTCAAAAACTTTTCATGTATAAACAGAAGCCTAGTGTTCGTTGAATAGACTTTTTTAATCTTCTTTCCAAGTGTTTTACCATTCATTTTTTAATACATTATATTGGATGTGCTAACAACATTATATATAAGTACATAAAAATGACTGTGATATTTAGTATGTACAACTTCTTTGTCATTTGACTGTGATTCATAGTTGAAAACATTTGTGTGATATCAATACTCATATACAATTTACCTGATTGTTCACTTAAAAGATTTTATTCACTTATTGTGAAAAATCCAAACTCACTATTTACCCCATTCATTTACTTGTTTTTGGTCCGTTACAACTATAGTGAATACAAATTGTTTGTGCTTAACAGCCATTACATAATCTTCTTTCTTTCCTTGTCGCTCAGTTGGAACCATGTGACTTTCTACATCATAATATTTTAATTACGCATTTGCTAAGGTCTGTGGGCTTATTTTAACTGCAATGCAATACCTGTAACACTACCTCTCTTTCCAAATTGTCTTTTGATAGCAGGATACCAGGTTTTATGGCTTAAAAGGGACTAAATGAATCATTGTTTGCATGTGGTTCATGCAGCCCAAAGCCAATCCATGTCTGAAAGGCAACTTCTTGATCTTTAAAAGCAATTGGAGTTAATGTTTACCCAACTTTCTGAATGAGGTGAAACTTTGTTTTATTGGGTCAAATCTACTCCCTGGCATATACAGCATCATTTATTGTAAACAAATGGAAAAAAGGAGAATTTTCAGTATTCCAACTGAATGATAATTCAGTTCAGTTAATTATCCTTTGATGATAGTTTCATTTAGCTTTAGCTTCTTTTGCATGAAAGTGGTTTGTTTTGGATTGTGGGATAGATCAAGCTAGCATACACCTACACATGGTGAAACATGTCCTACTATGTAACTCTCTTATGGCTCTTGTACCCAACAGATTTTTGGGGATGTTTCAGAGGTAGCATATCTAAGTCTTGAATAAAGGTCAATATAAATCGAAACAAAAGTACATAGAATTCTATAATAGTTCCTGGTTTCTTCTATAACTCCTTCCAAGATTTTTTAATATTGTTAACTGGATGACAAGCTACATCTGGACCCACCAAAATTCTGGTACTGTTAAGTAATCGTACATTAAGTTTCTGTATACTAACATGTATCTGTATGATATCTTTGTCACAACTTCAGTTGGAAGCTCTTCAAATTGGTGGCTCTTAAAATCTAAACAAAGTTTAATATAGTCTATTATAGGTAAGTGGGGAGATGAAACTATTTTAAGATACACAAGTAGTATTATCCACCTTTAGATCTAGGAACTTTTTGAGCAAACCACTCCATTGTCAAGGATTTTTTTACATACAGTTTCCTCAACCTTTAACACTGGCACATAATATGTTACCAAGTACTATTCAACGTCAAGTTTTTACCTCTGTCATTAAAAAATTAAATGGATTTTCTTCCTTTCACAAATGCTCTCCCAGCTACTCTGGTTTGCAAGGTCTTTTTTGCATTTCTTACTCAAACCTTCTAGCACAAATTGTTAACAGTGGTCTCCATACAGTCCAGTTTTAATGTAGGAAATTAATTCGTTTTCTTTGCACTTGACTTGGGCTTAAAAACGTTTTATTTGTGAGTATAATTCTTCAAAATGTGGAGGAAATGTCGGAAACTCTCCCTTCTACAAACTCCCTTTGCGGAGCAATCATGATGAACAATCAAATTATTTAATGTTTCATAAAAGAACTATACAAGGAGATGAGTAAGTTCTTCTCTTAACTTTAAGTAATGGGAAAGCAGCATTCAGCATGCCACTGGTGTATTCTTTTCATCCGGAAAAATCTATAGTGTCTCTTTCATTGAAATCTCAGTTCTCTGGGTTGAGGATGTCTTCAGTAGATCTTTTGTCAGGCCAAGTTTCAAGTGAGGTGTGGCTTGATTAGCGATGCTTCTATTTGCTTGTGCAACAGCAAAAAATTTATCCAAAAACGTGTGAGTAGCTTAGAAGCCAGGATCATTAGCCCAATAAGTTACTTCCTGAATTAGCTCTTAATACACGTGGCTAGAGTTCTGCTTTAAATTTATAATTTTGCATGTGAACAAGTAAAATTGTATTGAAAGATGATTGAGCTTCCTTATACTAGTTGGTTTTGAACTAAAATTTGCTAAGCCATATGAGCAATGATATAATCACTTTTACCTTTCAGAGGCACCACTTATAAACATCTCTTTGGGAGGAAAATATTACATTGAAGGATCCCCTGTTATCATAACCTGTGAGGCTTCTGGGAAACCACTGCCGGATGTAGCATGGTTTAGAAATGGAGTACTGGAAAGTTCAGGGAAGAAAGCTTCGTCTTTAAAGTTTGATAATATAGACAGAACAGATGCAGGACAATACACATGTCGTGCCAATAACTCAGTGGAAGTCACTTCTGTTGACACAACAATTGTAGTTCACTGTAAGTATATTTTAACCTTAATTTTCTATCTCTGAATTTACTTTATTTAAAGTGTAACTCCTGTCATTGGGGTCAGTTACACAAAACTGACGAATCTTTTCAAGAGAGTAAGGAAACAGGATTCCACCTCAAATCCTTTTCGGCTCATGCATCAGTTTCGAGTATTGGTTGGGACAATTTAATTTAGGTGGAATTGTTTCTCACGTTATTTTCCTTAGGAGAACGTGACATTTTTTTTACCAAGTCATTACTTCAGTTGGACTGTGTTTAACTCAGAAAATGACTTAAAGCCATTTGCGAGTCATTGTGACGACCCAAAATTCGCTCCGTTTGACCAGCGCACAAGGCTAGTGCATATTCTGATTCTGTGTGAGGGCTCTGGTCGGGGCTTAGTGGAAATCTGAGAATTGGTCAAAATTCTAACCGTCAACTGAGAAATTACATATTTCTTTTTTTACTGATAGCTGAGATCAGCTGGTGTGGAAATGGGCTGAAACTTGGACTGCATTCTAAGATTTGCGCATATTTGTATAAGTGGTGTTCGATGAAATATACTATTTGAGGGCAAGAATCCATTTTATATTTCATTATTCTTAAGCCTTGCCACCTTATACTGAATACTCGACTGCCAAATAACACGAAAGTGACAGACTGTACTGTGGAGTGATTACAACCTTCACTCTTTTTTTTCATCTAAAGACAAGGAAAGGAAACACAAATGCTTTGCTGGGTAATTGATTCCCATGACTTTCTGGTTTGAGAGGCTGTGTAACCTGCAAGCACTATGCCGCTCTGCTCTTTGAGATACTTAATTGTTTCGGTGTTTGCGTATGGGCAGGCACTCGACCTTTGTTGTCAGGAGCAGATAAAAACCAAGCATGAATGGTATACTGATTTCTAGATTTTAAAGTCACTTATCAAAATTACACCGAACATACTTTCATGGAGTATATACCACATATATAAAACATTTCCTGTAAAAAAAAAAAGCAAATCGAAATTACGTAAATGTCTAGAGAAATATCGGACCTACTCCTATTTTTAAGTCCAGAAATGGTCCTATGTCTATTGTTGTATACATGTACATGTTGTATACATGGGAATACATGTACTTGCTTACTTTTGAGCCATGTCATCGTAAATTCGACATTAATAATGACAACTTAATTTACGGACATAATCAGGATTATTATAGGAAATCATATTTCTTAGAAATGCTGAACTTTGGAACTTGTTATCATATGGTATAAAAACAATCCCTTCTTTTTCCTCTTTTAATTCCACCCCAAATACTTCTTATCTCTTAAAACGAGAAACTTGTAACCCTCCTGGCTATTGATATATGTTTTAGTATAATTGCTTTGGTGATTATATACATGCATGCACTCTGATTGGTCGAAGAGTACTTCATATCTCGCTTTAATCACGAATGATACAGCAGTGGAATGATAAAGCTCATTAACGTTCTAATTGATATGAGGTATTACCAATTATTCATTCAATTGCTTATTACATTGGTATTTATTCTCAGACCCGCCCACAATTCAGAATGTCACCACGTCATCTAAGAAGTCTTGGATTGGCCAGACAGTGACTTTGAAGTGTCTTTCTGATGGTGTTCCTACACCAACACTCTCTTGGTACAAACCTGAAGGAAGTGAAATAAACAGAGTCACAGCCAGAGAAAACAAAGTACAGGTGCCACTCAGGGGTGATCAAGATTTTGGTCATTACAAGTGCATTGCTGCCAATGGACTTACTCCACCTGATGAGGAGTTAATAAAGATAAATCCGATAAGTAAGTAAAAAAGATCAGTGTATTTTGATAAGAAGAAAAGTATATAGAAGGTCAGCATTTTCTTTGCTTTTGCCCATTATCACTTTTTCAGGTGTATTAGAAGTAAAACCCAAATTTTCTTACAAAGTACTCGACAGAGTAACTCATTCACTTTGTACATTTGATAGTTTAACATATAATATATGCGGATATTTTGCAAGGCCTATAGTTGTGTGGAAAAATGTAAGCTTATGTTACACCATCGAGTAAGGGACTTATCATTCTTTCATTTGCTAACAATTTGGCCGCTTAGTTTTCGACATACATCCTGCGGCCTTATCTGAGCGTTCCAATGACGTTTCCCGTCTTTAGCAGCATTAGACCTTCACATGTATTTCACGTTCGTTACGCCAATGAGGTATAACAGCGTAATAGTGGAATTGTGCCGGATATAGTAAGCCTGATCTTTTAGTGGAAAATGCACCCATATTTGTAAAAACGATTAACAGTAAATTGACGACACCCTGCCTACTGGTAGCATTAAACACGTTAAAAAAGAGCGTTGAAATTCAGGAAGATTGGCGACATCTTCCAATGCGAGTAACCATAGGAAACTTCCTCAACCATGGAAACTTAATTTTTCCTCGTTTTCTTAAGCTCTTGGCTGAATTTATCCAGTAGCTACATGTTATTCATTAAACTTTATTAATACAAGGACTTGCATTCATCCTAAGTATTGTAACAAAACTCACTGTGGAGTAATCACTGAAAAAAAAATTCTCCTTCGGTTTTTTTTTTTCCTTTTGCTCAAAATGATCCCTTTTTTATGGAACTATATAGAGAAACCAGGGAAAGCATCCATCAAATCGTCAGAATCAGTCATTCAAGCAACTTTTATAACAATACGATGGACTGCACCAGCTGATGATGGAGGAAGTCCGATTACAGGATACCAACTGATCTTACAAAAGGGTGAAACTGAGTTAGAAAAGGATGCTATCACCAATCCTGGGACGACATCTTATTCGTTTCGTGGTTTGGAGAAAAATACCAACTACACAATGAAACTGTATTCCAGAAATGTCGTATTCGAGGGAGATCCTACTGTAAGGACGATTAAGACCAAGCTTGAAGGTGAGAATCAGAGGTGATATCGTGATTGAGCACTTAGCACCAACCGTTTTGTTACCAACTTAGATTTGTTGTGAGTGGTCCCAGTTTTACCATCTTATCTGCTCGCCGTATTATAAGATTTTTGATTTTAAGTCCCCCCCATAATGGCCATTTTCCTCTCCCTCTCTAATAGTTATTTGAGAGGTACCTACTTATGAAGAAGCGTATCACTAAACCACAGGTAAACGTAGGTGAGAACAAGAGACAACCCACGCGGTTACGTTCCGTAAATGCTACCTGTTTTATCAAGAATTGTTTGCCTTGTGGTGTTTTTTTTATGTTCACGTCTCAAAATCTTTTGATATAAACTAATAACAACAAAAAACGCTAGATACTGATCTTTACGTTAGTTGGATACAACTTTTCCTAAACGCTTACCGGCTATATTCAGAACACCCAACAACCAACTATCCATTTTGCAGTATTGGAGTGGATCCAGAATTTCGAAAAGGGGGCTTCGAACAAATGGGGGGCCGCAGGGGGCATGCTCCCCCGGGAAGTTTTGAAATTAAAGTCCTCGGAAATGCGATTTCCAGCGTTTTGAGGGATGATGGTGGACGGTTTTTAAGATACCTTAACCATCTCTTATGAAAGCTATTTTATTAAACAAGGACTACGTTTTGGTCTTGACAGTAATCGAGATCAACTGACCCCTAGAAAATGAAACTAAAATCTCAGTAATTTTTTTTTTCTTCGCTATTTAATGTGTTCTAAAAGGTCACGCTTCAGATTCCTCAAAAATGGGATCAACGAGTAACATTCTACGAGGTTGTTGTTCGGCAAATTTCTGAACTATAGCATCGTAATCGAAAGGCTTTTCATAGTGAATACTCATGAAAGCCAGGCTAGAAAGTCTCTCGGTTGTCATCGTGGTCCGAAGGTAGCCCTTGACTAGTTTCAAAGTGCTGTTTGAGCGCTCGTTATCAGCTGATGTTACTGGAATTGTACATGCTATTCGCAACAACAGATGTGGATGTTCGGAAAGATGTTGGGATCACAAGCCTGTAGATCGACAAAAAGTGTAATCAATAAAGCTGTCATTTGTTAACCTAAGCGAAATTTGAACAAAAACAAACTGAGTTACTTCGCGCTTCAACGATGCACGACGCAAGACGTGCTTCAACATGTAAGGCAGGTTGAAGCGCGTCTGGTTTGTCCGTCTCGGATTGCTATCTTCTCATCCAACGATCATATTCAATGTCGAGAGTCTGTGGGCTTGGGATATCTGACATATACATCTCGGAGACTTCAACTAGGTCTACATTTGTGCACGCTACAGTGGTGCTTGGCATAAGACGAAGCAATTGCATAGCAGTCTTCTGAGTGGACCCAAATCTGAAAAAAAAATTCCTATTCCTTATTTCTCTAAATATTTATGATTAAGTAAACAGCCGAAAGGTTGATAATTTGTATAGATTACCTTAAAGACATTTCTTGTGTGATATGGTCAAGGAATGGAATGTACAGATTGCGACGGTAATATTCCTCAGCTGTGTCATGGGGTGCATTTGCCCTATGTTGTTGTCTTGACGCCGTTCTAGGAGCACTTGGTTCTGTTCCCAGCTCTGAACTGATCTCCACAGCATATGCGTGCCATCTTTTGAAGACAACATCATTCTTGTCTCGCAATTGTTTCAACTTCTTCTCTGTCTCCGAAATCATATTGTAGGCTTTAACAATGTCATTAGACTTTTTTGTATCTGTACGTCAGTCGGCTTTATGAATGCCAGAATTTTCATCGTGACCGTCAAGGACATGAGGAACTGGAAAAAACACCAGGTATGGTAGCAGCCGTTTGCTCTTTGGAGGGTTTCTATCACAGTTCCAAGACGTATCAGAGCTGTATTGTTTATGTTGCTGTTCATCTAAAATAACCTCAAACGTTTTAACTACTGATGGAAGTAACTGAACAAAAGTTTCATGCGCCTCGTGATGCTCCACCCAACGAGTATGGCAAGGGTCGCTAATCTTGGTTCCTTGAGACTCTGGCTGATCTAGGCTTATCACTTTTTTCAAGCACTTCAGCCGCTTAGGGGAGTAATTAAAAAAGTTTGCACATTCTGTAATTGTGCCAGCCATGTTGGGAACTAATGGCAAGCTACATGCCTTTACGATGACGAGATTAAGAAATGCGAATTGCAGTGTACGCACAAGGCTTTGAGGTTTTCCTGGAAATTAAGCCTTGTATACCTCTAGCTTGGGAGGACATGTTTGAGGCACTGTCGTAATCTTGACCTCGGTAGTGGAAAATATCCAGGCCTCACTGCTCGAGTTTTCCTAGGATCAATTGCGAGATCACCTCTCCAGTTATTCTTTCCGTAGACTGGAAGTCTAAAAACTCTTCGCGAATTTTAGAGTCTGTTAACGAACCTAAAGACAAATGAAAGCTGCTCAAGTTTGGTGTTGTCAGTCACTTCGTCGCACAGAATTGAAAGTACCTGTTATCGCTTTTGCGCTTCTTGTCATTGCCTCCTCAGTTGGCAAACCCCCTGGAGAGAAAAGTTTGTTTTATCGGCGGAAAAACCGATAAGAAGAAGAAACTCGTATGGCTCGAGAAGCGGAGCATGCGCACTCATTTTTCCACCGTGTCATGGCCGAGTGCCTTTACCAAGTCATGCGCGATGTCAAACTTTCTGTAATTACGTAACACAAATGAATGCATCGGTACTTCAATTGATCATATGAAAGTAGCTAAACAAATCACTATTTGTTTTAAGTTACAACCGACCATCATTTTAGGCTTCTCATTATCACTTTTTGTCTATTCAAATTATTTTAAATTACTTAAATTAATTTTGCTTGCAATACACGTTCGTTTAAAAAATATCCCAAAAAATCCTCGACCAATTTACAGATTATCTAATCACTGATAATGGTTGTGACCAGGTTATTATCAAGAAGTTGTATAATTATTAGAAATTTCACGCTGTCCATGTTGTTGACATCAATCTAGGAGCCCCAGATGTGGTCGAAATAGACCAACTGCTAGATGAAACAACAGACGATACAATTACCCTAAAGTGGAAGGAGCCAGAAAGTAATGGAAAAGTTATCACCATGTATACAGTGTACCAAAGAGTAGTAACTGATGGGAAAGTAGGACAATGGACAGAAATAAGGAAAATCAGAGGTGTTTCTACGAGAGAATTGAAAATAGCGTTGGAGAAAGGAAAGATGTATCAGTTTGCCATAACTGCAACTAATGAGCTTGGTGAAAGCCTAAAACAGAAGAAAGCAAATATCCAGCAAGTCAAGGCAGAAGGTAGTATCTTCAAATGAATCTTATTTTCGCCTTTCAAAGGTTATCTTTTCTTTACTTAGTTTTCAAGCACTCTCCGTGTCACGAATATCGAGGTTTTTACGGCTGAATTCTTCGCTTGCAAAAAACCTGAATCAATATGAAAAATTTTACTTACGTCGCAGTAGATATATGTGTGCCAATTGCAAAGATATGGCATATCTAGTAACTGAGATTTCAATCATTGGCTGGCACACACAGATATTTTAACTAGTTTACTGACACATGCTCACCTGAACCTGGAAAGAGAACTCTGCAACTTTTTAGATTTATCTTCTCGTACTTAAATTAACTGCTTTTTTCTTTCCTTTGCCGCCATCACTTAGTTGATGCCTCTCTCCCACAAAAAAAATGTTCACTCTCCCACACTGAATTCTGAGAACTTTTCTCTCATTTCACCACCACTGCCCTCCATTCTTCATACCAATGAGAGCGACTTCGCACTTACCCTCCTCTACGCGCCGTAATTTCGACAACAGATTACTGAACCGCGAGAACTCAGAAGTGGCCTATTGCCTATTGGTCAGAATTACTTTGTAAATAAATGATCAACCCGAGGCTTTAACCTCGCGTGCATAACACAAAACTTTTCCTTTCATAAATAATGTCGAGACTGCCACCATCAATGTCATCTATTTCATAACTTGCGGTTATTTCAAAAAGTTATACTTCGGCGAAAAGGAAGACGACCAGGGGAACGATTCTGAGAACACCATCGTGACACAAAATACAAGAAAAACAATATCTCTCAAATTGGCCTCCCATTCGTACATTTTATGCCAGTGTTCTTTTTAAGTAAAGGCTTTATACATGAGTTCAAATGATAATTCTTGTGCAAACAAACAAACAAACGTTCATTTTAAGTCGTATTTTGTTTTTCCCCAGTTCAAACAGTAAGCACAGAAGTTTACCTGACAGCGACAATACAGGAGGACTGTAACAGACGTTCAGAAGTTGCTGAGAAATTTCCAGAAATGGTGAGATAATCTACTTGATCCATATACTGGAGTTTAAGGAATACTGCCATGAGATTTATCATGAAAAGTGAATCTTAATCAATCTGTTCTTGAATCAAATCTTAATATTTCTGTTAGAAAATAAGATATCCTGAACGATCTTCAATATGTGACAAGCATTTGAATATACGTTTTTTCTTGATATGTCCTTTTAGGCTTGTCAAATTGCCTTCAGGTTTGGCTGCTCATCCGCCAACACTGTGAACACCAGGTAAGGTACAGTTTGTTGCTCTACACTGAAACAACAAATGCAAACTCAAATTTGCCTTCTAGTAGGGGAGAGGAGCTTTATTTCAATGTGTTGTATTTTAGCTGTAAAAGTGTTTTTTCTGCTCTAGCAAATCTTATATAATACAAGATAATTTATGTTTGAAGTATATTGTCTTTAATATTGTCTTTATATACCTTGGTTTAATACATTGGTTAAATCTCAATATATTTTAACACTTAAAAATCACCAAAGTACGAATGTGTGCGATGATACTCTTTGCTCTCTCTCTCTTCCCCCCCTCCCCCCCTTATCTAGGTGTGGCAGTGTTGTTCTTGACTTTATGATGAGGTTCAATCAAACTGTAGTCGTCAGCAATGTTTTGATTGTCCTGTCGGATGCTGCAAGGCAAGACAAATTCAGAGGTTTCAAAGTCAATCCAGACTCAATTAAACAAGTTTTAATACCCACAGATGGCTCGGAAAGCACAACAAAAGGTAAATTTTACAAAGAAATTGTTCAATGTTTACACGTATTCTTCCGAAGATGGACTCTTTATAATCGTATTCCGTATCTATTTAATTAAACAACTTATTCTGTGACTGATACACTTCCAAGTTTTTGTTTTTGTCGTTGTTGTTTTATTTAATTAAACAAAGTCTTACTCTTAAAAATTATTTCAGAGAGAGTAGCACCTTACTCTTCCTTAGTACCAAGCCAATTAGAGTTAACGTTTTCCGGTCATGAACCTCAGCTATGTAGTAAGAGCAGTGTATCCACCAGGATCAGTGTAAATGTTGTTTGAATGTTATTTCATCAAGCTTTGCAAAATGAATCATTTTAGGTCCTGAGGAATGTAACTGCCCATCAAACAACGTCTTGTTGGCCATAATTGGGGTTCTTGCCTTCACAGTCCTTCTTCTAATTATTTACATAATCTGGCTACATAAGAAAGGTAGGTAAAAAATCATAATCTATGTTTGGCTGCAAGATTCTTTTTCACGCAAAAGCAAACTTTTACTCGCGTTTAAATCATTTGTATTTTTTCCTTTCGTTCTTTTTCAGGCGCTGTAGGGAAACAGAGGTAAGAATTTTCTGCTAGTTGGTTTGTGTCGATATAATGTGCCCGAAATGGTTTCATCTTAACACAAAACTCCAATAAAAATTGATGAAATTCTTAGCGTAATATAATTATTTATATGCTTTATCAATTGTAGGACTTATGAAGATAAGAGACGTGTTTGCGACGTAAGTTACAGCTAAGACATTGAGGTCATGTTAGTGTGACCAGAAATTATGTAATCTTACTTTACCTCTACTTTCTATGAGAAAATAAACGCTTGCAGCAAATGAGAAGGAAAAAATTTGTAGTTCTACATAAAAAAAAGCATATTGCATCAGTGGCAGATACAATGAAATAAAAGAGGAAGTTAGGCTCGATAAGGTCTTTGTCCCGTGATCATGTCCTTTACCAAGCCACTCCATGGATTTTCCTTCGATTGTCCCTGGTTCAGCCGCTTGGTTTCACTTCGCAGATCGCTAATTGGTCTGCACCCGGTTGATATTTGCTTTCTAAATAATAGATTTCGTGCATTTTGGCCGTCGTATTTTCTTGCTGCCTTATTTTCTAAACGTGAGTTTAGGAGCTTGGTACTGCAAGAGTTGTTTCGTGCGTTTATTTGTCAAAATATTGGACTACCAATCGACAATCTTCATGTTGCAGTTTGTAGCTTCGACGAATATGCTATGAGCCTCGATCACTCTATTGGACATGATAGTTTCAAAAGCAGAGAACAAACTGTTAGTAATAATAAGGACAAGAGGTTATAAACTATTTATAATCTCTTATCAATAATCTGTTATCATGGAAGAATATAAACATTTGTCTGATAAAAATGGGTGAACTGATTTTTATAACCACGAGGTACTTTTTACTAGGATTAATAACAGATTTGGATATGAATACGTTAACAGTGTGTTGGTTTAATAGAATGAAACATTATTAGAAGATATCGAACCAAGTCTACCTGATTCAAGAAAACTCACCCAGCCTCATGCGGAATACATGGATCTCATAGAAGTCAACAAAGATGATAGAAAAGCACAAAGTACCCCTCCAGGTGCTGATTACGTGCCTCTTCATCCATTAACACGCTGCTGGGAAGTTCCTAGACATAACGTGACCATAGAAAAAATCATTGGTAAAGGTGCTTTTGGTCAGGTTGCCAAGGGAACAGCAGTAGGACTTCGAGGGAGTCCTGAAACGACCACAGTGGCTATTAAGATGCTTAAAAGTGAGCTCTTGTACTGTAAATTGAATGAGTCTTGGCCTACAGACATTCAGGAAATGTTACCGGGTTACTGTAATTATTTAGCTATTTTCCATTTCATAAGTTACGTTGTTATTCCGACATTTCGCATATTATTCTCGTTAACCAAATTTTACTCCTTGTTTTTAATGCTCCAGCAAACGCTACTGAATCGGACAAGAGAGATCTGATGAAAGAACTTGACACAATGAAACAGCTAAAACCACATCCTTACGTCATTAAACTTCTGGGATGTGTTACTGAATCTGGTATGCTTTGGTTATGCGGGTCTAATTTTGCTGTACACATTTTTCTTATGATTTACTCTGTAACGCTTTCTCGTCATTGATAATTTGCCTCAGTGGAAGGGTGACCGCTTCGCAATTGAGCAAAACAAACAACCATCGCATAAGGTAATTTTATCTTCTTTTAGCCAACACAGACGTGTCTGGATTTACTGATAGACTAAGACCGAATATTTGCCACTGAACAGATCATTCTGTTGTAGAAGCAGAAACGCTTTTTGAAAGGGAATAATTGGTCTGTACTTTCTTATGGGACCGTCGCATAGTTTTTCTTGTTTTCATGCGATTTCTTCAAAAGCGTTGACCATGACTGGGCTATTCATCTATTTCAATTACTGCTTTTTTTTTTAAAGAAAGTAACATATCAATTAAATTGTTTAATTTCTTCAGAACAGCTGTTGGTTTTGATTGAATATGTGCCTTTTGGGGATCTGCTGGGTTACCTGAGAAAGAGCCGTGGATTAAAAGACACTTACTACAAAGACCCGGATATCAAACCACAAACAAATCTGACGTCACAGCAGCTGATGAAGTTTGCTTGGCAAATTGCTGATGGAATGAGTTACTTGTCCGCAAAATCTGTAAGTTAGTTAAAAACACAAAAGACAAACAATTCTAAAACCTTCTCGTAAGGTCTATCGTCATGTTAAGCTCTGTCTGGCATGGAATATTATGTCTTCACAAGATCACGCCTGGGAGATGCAGACGTATTCTTACCGTCTTGTCGAGGCTATTTCTTTAGGGCCAGGAACCCTCCCGATTTTGACGTCATCATATAAGTTTTATTTCAATGCGAGAATGGCGATATTTGTGCATCGTTGCAAGTGTACCCCATCGAAATAAAATATCTGGGTTTTTCTCGTGTGAGCAAAGGTAGAGACGTGAAGGAATAGGATCTTTTAAGATATTCAGCCTAAACTGAGTGTACAACAAATATCCATTTTAGTGACAAGGAAGAAAAGGAATTAAAACTTCAACTTAAAAAAATCGTCTTTGGTCGCTAAACTGCTTCATTACAGAATCCTATTTCGATTAAAATGTTAAGGTTGTAGGCGCAAGAATTTGTATTACCATTTTTTGTTAGTGTTGGTGTTTCATAGTTTCGTGTTAGGTGTTTATTTTCTCGTCTTCCATTAGTGTCCTTTGTCAGTTACCAGTTTTGTACTTGTTATATTTATTTGCATATCGTATATATATTGGTTGCGCGTAATTTATTTGGTTAGTTGTCTAGTTTGCGAAAATTACCGTTACATATCTAGCTCTGAGTTTCATGTTTTCGTCTTTGGTTTGGTCACATTCGTCTTTTACCGTATTCAACAATGTGTCAAGTTTGTTCTAGTAAAGTTTGAAATACGAGTGATTAGCGTTTGCGGCTATATTTTGTAAAAGACGAATCTGGTTTATTGGAAGTTTATGTCGATGTCTCGCAACGGTTCTGATGTCTACCTGTCTTATTCGGCCGGGAAAAACGGCCAACCTGCCGAAAACGGTCCACGTGCTCGTAAACCGAATACCTCTTTGGATCAAGAAGGAATCTCTCTTGAACGCATCCGTGAACTCAGAAAGCGGAGAGGAGGAGTGTTGTCTTCGTTAACGTCCAAGCGTCGAGAGATCGATAGTCTTTTAACGGATGAAAATAATTTGGAGACGCTGAAAGTAAAGCTGTCGGAAATCACGTCGCTATTTCGAAGATTTACCGAGGCTCATGACGCGTATAATGTAGCTCTGGTTGAGGAAAGTCAGAGACAAGAATCAGACCTCTATTTCGCCGACATTGAAAGCAGTTTAGATTTTTTCTGCCGTACGGTCAATGATTGGTTACGTGTCACGGAAGCCAGGCTTCAAGATAACCTGATAACGCCTGACGACAGCGCTTCTCAAATTGGGTCCGAGGTTCGTAGCAAGTCTAGACCATCCATGTGTGGATCGAGAACGAGTCACTTTTCTAAAACGAGCTCCATATCTGCTGCAAGAGCCAAAGAGGCAGCTCGCATCGCGGAACTTCGAGCGGAGGCGCACGCTTTGAAACACCGCCATTCGCTTCAGGAATCGGAGCTACGCCTCAAGAGGCAAGAGTACGACCTGCAGTTGAAGAAAGATGAATTAAACCTCAAAACTGAGTACGCTAAAGCGGTGGCTAGAGAAGAAGCTTACGCTCAAGCTGAAGCGGGTAATTTCGCGCCTAGCAACGTGGCCTCTAGGAATCCTCGTTGTCCCGTTTCAGTCGTATCCTCCATCACTGAAAAGTCAAGGACTGGTGGTTCAAAACGTGAGTCATTTGTACCTGCCGATAAGAAAGAGAAATTGTCTTTGAAGTCAAGTAACCCGGTTAAAGATCATAAGGGTGCTGTGAGTGATTCAAGTTCAAGCTCTGGCAACTCAGGTCTGAGCGACCAGGCCTATGGCATTCTCGTCCAGCAGAACCGAGTAATGGAAGAGTTCGTGAAACAGCAGCAAAGGAACTTGTTACCCAGGAGACGTGTACCTGTGTTCAGTGGAGACCCTTTACATTACTGTGCTTTCATTCGCGCGTTCGAGACCGTAATCGAAACTAGAGAACTAGATTACGCTGGGAGACTCTATTACCTCGAACAGCACACAGCTGGCAGAGCTCAAGAGTTGGTACAAAGTTGCCTCTACATGAAAGCCGAAGATGGGTACGTAAAGGCAAAGAAACTCTTAGAGAGCAAATTTGGACAGAAGCACAAAATCGCTATGGCATATATGGATAAAGTCACTAATGGTCCAGTCATCAAAGCTGAAGATGCAGACGCCCTAGAAGGCTTTGCCGTTTTGCTCTCTAGCTGTACAAACACTCTTAAGGCTATCGGCCATTCCAGAAAGTTCGAAAGTCCGGATAGCATGCGGAAGATTATTGAGAGGCTTCCCCCGAAGTTGCAAGCCAGTTGGCGGGACAACGCTGATCGGATCCTCAACTCGGAAGCGAGAGATGTCTGCATTGATGATATTTCACTCTTCGTTGAACAGAAAGCTCGCACCTTGTCCAATCCAGTTTTTTGGCAAGCTTCCTTGTTTGGAAAAGGAGAAGAAGAACAGCAAGGATAGGGGTTCGAGATCGAAGTCTGAGAGACCCGGTGGAAAACAGCTAAGCCTCGTCACGATTTCCGAGACGAAATCCGCTCTCAATTCATCTGCTGATGTGTTGAGTGCAGTTCATTCTTCTAAGAAGAACTGTCTGTTTTGTAATGCAGATCACAATCTCACCGAATGTTCCAGTTTCGCCAAAGTACCTCCTACAGATCGTCAGGAGTTTGTCATGAAGCAGAGGCTATGCTTTTCGTGCTTAGGTGGAGGCCATCAGTCTAGAAGTTGTCACAAAAGGAAGCCCTGTATTCACTGTAATAAGAGACACGCTACTGTAATGCATGTAGGTGCACCAGAAGCTATTGTTGCGTCCGACCGTGGTAAGGATGGACCTCAGAGCGAGAACAACCAGTCCAGTACTGAGAAGAACAGAGCTGATCACTTTTGTGGCCTAACCACAATGGAGGGTTCCGTGACTGCATTGCCCATTGTTGCTGTGAAGGTCAAAGTCAAAGGAAGTCCTCGGTCCGTGGAGACCTATGCGTTGCTGGATAATGGATCTAACACCACCTTTTGCTCGGCTAATCTGTTGAGACGTCTGAGAGTCTGCGGCAAGGAAATGAGACTCAAGCTAACCACCATGGATAGCTGCAACGATGTGGACAGTCTCGTTGTTACGAACCTGGAAGTGGCTGATCTAGACGAGAACGTTGTCATTTCCTTGCCAGAAGTTCTTTCCCGACCTTCTATGCCTGTAGTGAAAGACGAGATCCCGAAACAGGAGGATGTGGAGCGATGGCCGCACCTCCAAGGCTATGTATACCTAGCAGAATTGAATTCCGAGGTGGATCTATTGATTGGTGCAAACGTACCTGAAGCCCTACAACCGAGAGAAGTTGTCCCTGCCTCTGATGGGGGTCCATATGCAACTAGGGTTGATCTTGGCTGGGTTATCAATGGCCCAACTGGAAGAAAGCAAAAGTTTGTCCCATCTTCTAGTTTCTTCGTTAACTGTAAGGAGACTCATCCTATGTGTATAGCATGTGCTGATTTTGCAGATGCCACTCTTTCCGATGGTTTAAGCATGTCAAGGGATGACTTAAAGTTCATGAACATTGTAGAGGATTCAGTTATGCAGTGTGAAGATGGTCATTATCAGGTTTCTCTACCGTTAAGGGACCTCAACTTGCAGATGCCAGCAAACCGGAGTCAAGCAGAACGCCGTGCTCTCTATCTTAAACGTAAATTCTCCAAAGATGTGAAGTTTCGCGAGGACTATGTTGCTTGTCTTGAGAAGGTGATCGGTGACGGTTTTGCAGAAAAGGTTCCCCTGGATGTCCTGGAGAGATCAGATGGTAAGGTGTGGTTTATCCCGCACCACGGCGTTTATCATCATAAGAAACCGGATAAGATACGTGTCGTTTTCGATTGCTCAGCCCATTCTCAAGGAACTTCCCTGAATGATGAGCTGTTTCAAGGTCCTGACTTAACCAATAATCTGGTTGGCGTGCTGATCCGTTTCCGTCAGGAGCCAGTCGCAGTCATGGGTGACGTTCAATCTATGTTCCATCAGGTGCGTGTCCCAGAAGTAGATAGAGACCTCCTACGGTTCCTTTGGTGGCCCCGTGGTGACTTCTCCAAGGAATTAGAAGAGTATCGGATGACCGTACATCTGTTCGGTGCGGTTTCGTCTCCCAGTTGTGCTAACTTTGCCATGCGACGGAATGCCGAAGATCATAGGCACGAGTTTTCCCCTGACGTGGTTAGTACTGTCTTGAAGAATTTCTACGTTGACGACTGCCTGAAGTCCTTACCTTCAGCGGCTGTTGCAATAAAGCATGTGGAAGAACTTCGTCGGCTAATGCTGAGGGGAGGTTTCAATTTGACTAAATGGATCAGCAATGACCGCGAAGTCTTGGAATCCATTCCTGTAGAAGCTAGAGCAAAGGATGTTAAAGATCTGGATCTTGATAACGACGCGCTTCCTGCAGAGAGAGCCCTAGGTGTATCCTGGTTTGTCGAGACAGATTCATTTGGTTTCAAAGTGAACATTAAGGAGAAACCCTGTACCAGGCGTGGTATCCTTTCCGTGGTGAGTTCAGTTTACGATCCTCTCGGTATGGCAGCGCCTTTCATCCTTCCGGCAAAACTGCTCCTTCAGGATCTGTGCAGAAAGAGTTTGGGTTGGGATGATGAGATTCCCAGCGACTACCTATCTCGTTGGCGTGTGTGGCTAAATGGTCTACCGAAACTTTCCCAGATGTCAGTGGGCCGGTGCGTTAGGCGTGGATCTGGTAACGTTGTGTCAAGTGAGATTCACCATTTCTGTGATGCCTCTCAGTCGGCCTTTGGAGCTGTTTCGTATCTTCGACAGGTTGACTCCGATGGCCAGATCAACTGTTCTTTCCTTCTCGGAAAATCTCGTCTCGCCCCTTTAAAACAGGTCACTATCCCACGTTTAGAGTTAGCGGCCGCCACTATGTCCATTCGTTTGAACAAAGTATTGAAGAAGGAGTTGGAGATTCCGATTGATGCAATCTCTTTC